TACTGCGCAGTGTTATTTATGGTGAAGCAGATGCACCAGGGAAAGCCGGCTTCAGGTGACCATTCAAAAGGAAAAAGAGGTCAAGGAAAAGATGGGTGTGAGCACTAAACCAAAAGCTATCCCTCAGCCTCTTTGAGAGAGGCTCTGTAAATCTCTTCCTAGGCTATACTGTCAGCACTTTCTTTACCTCAAAAGAACGAGGCAGAAAATGTAAGAGTCAAAGCAAAAAGTGAGTTTTTCAGCTCTATCATAGTGCAATATTTAATAAGTCCAGTGGCTTTATGTTGACTACAGTACTTCTTTCTATTTGTCCATTTTTTGAGACAAAGTCTCACTGTTTAGTTTATACTGGCTTTGATTTGACTATGTGGCCCAATCTGGCCTCCAACTTGCCGTAATCCTACTGCTTTCCGCCTCCCAAATGCTGGGATTATAGACATGTGCCAGCCTAGCTGACTACAATATTTTTAGCATGTGGGACTTGTGTCCCAATTAAAAAAAAAAAGGGGGACAAGGACAAACGCCTCCTTATCACAGCTGAACTTTGAAAGCATATTTATTTAGCAGGGAGAGGTTTCATTAAATATCCTGGAATTACAGGTTCCTCAATTCCCATCTAGATTCCAAGGGAACTTTGCACTTGGGTGACATGCTCCTTCAATACCGCATTTCTTTGCTTTTCCAGTTGAAGATGCAGGGTTCTGAATTAGAAAAAGTCTGTCTATTCCTCTAGCTGGTATGCCAGGTACCTGTAGCCTCCTGTTGGCAAAGCTAGATCTTAAGAGTAGCTACTGAATGAAGACTCAGGAAACCTAACTGACTGTAGACTGGAGACAAGATGAAAATGAAAAGTCAAGCTTATGACACTATCTAAAGCATAGCTTATTTGGAACTTAGAGTCTAGACGACTATCTTTTCTCTCTTTAGCCAGGGTAAGTCCTAAGAGCGCAGATTTTTAACAGAATCTATGGCAACTGAAAAAAGGGTTCACTTCTGATCACCTCCTTGAGAAAAGAGGCATTGTGTGTAGAAAGCAAGTAACACAGCAGACAATTCAGGATCAACTCACTTCTTTGGCATGTGAACAGACAGTAAGTGATTCCAAGATAAGTACATTCTTTGGAACTGAGTTTCCAGTTAAGGAAGAAAAAATAATCAGTACTTTTGAGGAAGAAAGATCGTATTTCTCTCCAATAATGAAATGGTGATGTTACAGTACTTCTGGATTTGAGTTATAGGCATCTCTACAAAAAATATATGAATTTGCATTTGCTTGAGCTGTTCTACCTAAATGCTACTTAATAAATGTTTCACTGATTCTTAACCAAGAAAGGAAGGGAATTCTGACTCAAGTAGTGACAGCTTTTGGTTTTCTTGGAAGCAAAACAAAGCTAAAATTTGTTATCTTTTCCTGGGAATGTTGTTAATAGTTTATTAAAACACAAAATGACATTTCAGTAGGTGGCAACTCTAGACATGGAATGTCATTTACAACTTCCCTAAGAAACCAGGCTTTGAGTCAGACATGGCAGTGCACACCTATAAACTCAGCACTGAGGCAAGAGGACTACCCCAAGTTCGAGCCCCTTCGGAACTACATAGCAGGACCCTGTCTCCAAAATAAAGAGAAGAAAAGAAAGAAACTGGGCTGTGCTGAGCGGAAAGTGAATCCAGAACCTGCTGACACCTTTATACTTAACCGCCTTTGTCATCCTAACTCCCATGCAGTTCCCAAAATGAACGGTAGGTGGCTCCTCATTCCTTTTCTTTAACAGGACTACTTGGTGCTGGTTTAGAAAAAGCAAAAGGGCAACTTGAGTTCTGTACAAAAAAAAATATAGAGAAATCTGTGTTTGTGATCTTGGTAGAGTATTGAACTCAAAAGAATGGAACTACTCACACCGTACAAGTGATACATAAATTATTATATATGTCCTGATGTCTTAGTTGCCCATTTTTATTAAATTTTATTTCAAACAGAAAAAAAATATATCAAAATTTTAAAACACGACAATCAGGGGGCAACAGTGGTACATACATTGCGCACTGCCATCCCCAAATCAGTCACCCAGATAACAAGACATCTGTAGATGCCCATTTTTTCCTGAGAATTATTTCCTTTTCCCAGAAGAATAAAAATGATCTTCTGGAAAATCAAAATCATAATTACCTAATCAAGGGCTGTGAAAAGTGCTGGGATCCTACAAAAGTACCTCTTCTTCACTGTCCAATACAGTCTTAATTTGCCACGGTGACCACTGAGTATGTAAAGAGGCCAGTGCCCACTCAACTCTCCAGTTCTTTCCCATTTAAATAAATGCAGGCTTAAATAAATGGAGGTTTAAATATTCCCATGTGGCAAACGGCTGCCATAATAAACAAGACATATGACAGTAGGCACACCGTCATTCATACATGCGTGATCTCATGCGAAATCATAGACTATCATATGGGGAGCACTTTTAATAAAAGATTTTGTTTTTCTACACCCAATACATTTCAACATGACCTGAAACTTAGTAAGGACATTTGTAAGAAGATTTTCACCAGGGATATAGCCCAGCAGCGCAGGCACCTGCCTGCTAAGTATGAAGTTGTGAGTTTGAGCCCTGATTAAAAAAAAAAAGATTTTCTTGTTATATTCTGTATTACTGGGATAATTTTCCTCTTTGGATGCAAATTCTTGAAAAACTATGTTTATCCATCCTCTTTTACATAAATACAAAGATAGTGGTGGGCATTCTATAAGGTATTTTTCCTTCTTACAAGGCTTTTTATTTTGAGTTAAACAATTTTCATACCAGGGTTTCCTAATAAAATTCAAATCAACTGAATGGCTTCCAAAAATATATATACATCTATGCATATGCCTTGAGAAGAAATAGTAAGTATATAAACCTAAGAGGGAAAATGGTCAAGAGAAATTAAAAATATAGTAGATAGCAACACTGATTTAGTAGGCCAAAAGTATTCTTCCGATCCTACGTTATGGTAATGAGTAATTTTTAATACAGGTAGAATAATAAATGCAAAAAGCAAGTCAGTAACATCAAATTCCTATATAAAATCAATAAGCCTCTCACTCTTCTCTGTTCATATCACATACTAAGAAAATAGCTGAACATTTAACAGCATTTCCTGTCTCTCGCTGATCCATCCTAGGAGCACAAGTTCATGAAGTGACAGTGCAGTAAAGCACAGTGGTTATGTCTTGACAAAAAAGACTCGTAAATGGTCGTGTGCAACTCCTCTGTCCATTTTACAGATACTGCAGTACAGGGAGAAGACCTGTGGCCTGTCTGGGTTCCTATTTCCAGACCAGAAAAAGCTGCCCATGGCATTAGGCTACATCAATTATTATAGAATCATCAGACTTGTAAAGATCTACTTTTTTGTAGGTATACAAAAAAAGGGCAAGTGCAGTTTTGGAACACTGAAAGAAATAGAAAGGTAACTAATTCAACCACTAACAATAACAGAATCCTGTAAGTCTTCAGCAGTGTTTTCAATAGTACCATTTTCCTCTTGAAGACTTTACAAAATGTTATTTTTAAAAGTTTTTCACTTATTGTTTGTGACCTCAGAATAAAGATCCTTAATCTTGCTCAGGGATTCTTGATTCTTCTCCCAAGCAAAGCAGCCTCCCTTCCTTTCCTACATCCTTCCCAAGGCAAGGCTCTGATTAATCAGCCAAAGGTTCTCAAGTTCAATTCTTCCAGGAAGCCTTTGGGGACTGAGAGAGCCAACTGCAAGGTTATATAAGGGGTCCACTATGGGGCGTTCTCCTTGTACTCTCCCCTCAATGTTCCTAACATTCCTCTTTCCTGTAGAAGGCTAGTTAGTATTCAATGGGTTTTATGTAGTCTGTTGTAGCCAGTAGTTAATTTTAGATTATAGGAATGAAATTTTAGTAATAGTAAAAGAAATAATGAATACTTTGAAATTCTTAATCATATTTGCTTAAGAATATTACATCAATGCTAAGCTGGGGGGGGGGGAGGCAACAAATGCAAATATGGTCTTTATGATTCTCTTCTCCAAAAGACAATATGAGCCCCAGTATCAGGTGTGGTGGTGTCAGACAAAACGTCTACTGAAGCACATAATGTGAAGGAAACCTGCAAAGGCACCACAGGAGAAATAAATTCTAAGAACCGAACACGCCATAGACAACTGGAAAGTACAAGGCCAGTGTGCCTAGTAGCCAGAAATGTTGCCACCTCTAGGAAAACAAAGGACTGACTGACATGCAGGGACCCAGGCCAACAAGAAACTTGCTATCAGTGGTTGATCTGATCCTTGCCACAAAATGTGCTTGAAAGAAACAATAGAGCAAGAAATGCTGGTGAGCCCCGACTTCTGTCCAAAGTGCTGGTTCCTCACTGCCTCAAACACTGTGTGCCACCCCCGAAATAAAACCGCTACTGATGGCAGGGCTTAACCAGCTGCCCATTTTTCTCCCCCCTCCCCCCCGCTATAAAAACCTCAACAAACATTTTTATCCTCCTCCCTTTTAGAAATCTATTCCACATTTGCTGTAATCCTCATTTTACCAGTAATTTCCTCCCAATTCTCCAATCAGTTGTATCCATTGCTTCATTTTAAAGCTTGTTTCTTAACCTAGGCTGACCACCACCGTCCAACTCTGTTGAGAGGAAGGGCACAGTTGTCACATGTCCAGCTGTAGTGTGTCCTCAGCGGGAAAGAGTAATCATCACCCACGCCATCTGAGTCTGACTGTGCCACACACCCTTCAGGAAGGCGACACCCTGACCCCTGGCCTCTTTCCCTTGATGCACCCGGTTCAGAGACCCTCCCTGGCCACCACAGATCACCAGGGCTAAATATAGCACCACGCACACCAGCGGTTCCAGACCATTGTCACATGGCTCTGATGACGAAGGCCTCCTGGGAGACGCGTCGGCCCCACACATACACACACACACACACACACACACACACACACACACACACACGTGGGCAGACCCATCTATACACACCATGGCCACCGGCTTCATCTGCGAAGTAACACAACCGCGTTCAGAAGGCAGGACGGCTGCTGCGGGCGCTCGGTGCCCGCCGGGGCCACCGCGGCGCTGTCAGGGGCTCAGTGCGCGCCTCGGCCCGATGCGCCAGTGTGGACGGGTGAAGTCGCCGCAATAGTCAGATCACCTCGCACGCGCGCACACACGCGCGCGCACACATATGCACACACACGCACTCGTGGCGTGGGCACCCCTGCTCCCCCTGCGCCCTCTTCTCCAGGACACGGGAGACCTCCGGGCTCGTGGCGGCATCGCCCGGACAGGTGTCCCAAGGCTCCTCACCGGCACAGGCAAAAAAGCCAGGCAAGCCAGGATCTCCCGAGTTCTCCAGGTGAACCGAGGAGGTAAAGAACGGCGGGACGAGGGTCACAGGGAAACGCACGGCTCGTGTGTGACCCCTTCCCAAGTCAGACCTCAGCGAACACGGAACAGGCGACAAAAATAAACAGCGTCACACGCACACACGCACAAACACGCGGGGAAACCTGCCGAGAAGTAGAAGCAAACAGCCCAGGAGGGGAAGAGAAAAGGGAGAACTCAGACAACCCTCAGAAAACACCGAGGTCTCCAAAGAGGAGGTCTAGCAGTGGGGTGGGAGAAAGCGACAAGGAGGCACCCACGCAGGTGTCCCCGCGAATCCCCACTGCGCGGTCTCGCACCTGTGAGGCCGGGTGGCCACAGGAGCCCCGGCAGGACGTGCCCTGGTCGCCGGCTCTGGCCGGACTGGGCGCAGCAGCGATTGCACCCCAGGATCAGCCTTCCCGCCGCGCCCCCGGGGTCTCCGCCGCGAGCTCAGTGAGCAACTCAGCTCCAGGTCCCCGCTGTGGGTCCCCAGTCTTCCTCGGAGAATCACCCCGCCAGAGAGTCACCTACCTGCACACAGCGAAACCCCGGGTCCTCTGCCACCGGGCTGCGTGCCGCGCGCCTCCAAATGCGACCAAAGGGCAGCTAGGAAAGCGCGCGGAAAGAAAGAAAAAAAATCTGCCTGAACCAGTCGGGCTCCTTGTTTATACTGAAACTACCGCACCAGCCGCCGCTCACACCCCCTTAGTGGCCAGCCCCGCCCCCGCAGCCGACCCCGCCCCTCCTGCGGGAGTCTACCAATCACGGAGTATGTCACCGCCCACGCCGCTGCCGCTCACCGCAGTCCCCACCCCTCCCAGGGAGCAGACCAATCACGGGTCATCTTGACGCCCACTTCGGCCCCGCCTACTGAGCCAGAGCCTGAAGCCGCGGGGTGCGGCTTCTCTGGAGCTGCGGTTCGCGGCGCGGGCTCCTCCCCACTGCACCTGCCCTGGGCGGTTTGTGCAGTGTATACGCTTGAGTGTGTGCTCATTTACCTGTGTACCACCTGTAAATACCGGCCCGACTCGTTATACAGTATCTATTAACGCGATTATGAGCCGAAGGCTGCTGGCCAGGGGACTTTGAGATCGGAGAGAAACCACAGGACGTTGGCTCGGCGGGGATTTAGGGATAGCTGAGCGCTGTGGTTGTGCAAAAACACTGGGGCACGCTGGGGGCCACCAAACGCTGGTGATGCCGTTAGAAGGACGTGGGACGGACCTACAGAGTGCGCTGTAGTGTGACAGTCGCTAGAAGTCCCACAAGGAAAGGAACTCACTTGGTGAAACCTGACTCGGGCAAGGCTGGAGGCTTGGCTGCTGCGGAGGCTATGTTGTCATGGCAACCACATACTTAGGCTGCCGCGGGATACTTGATAACTATTTTAGAAAAAAAAAAAAAAAAGATGAAAACCTGAATAGTTCACCTTGACAGATAGAAGAAAGCCAAGGGAAGAAATGATGGAAACAAAGAAACAGACTCATGGGGAAAAAACGTCCCTCAGGAGTCTTTCTTGCCTATAAGAAAGTAGTTTTTCTGGGAGCCTTTTTGTATACACAAGACAACCAACCGATCCTATCTGCCCTATTAGGATGAGGAAGATAGGGGACACTTGGTGATCCCACCCACCTCTCCTCCTTCCCCATCCTGTTTGCTAGTGGGTCTCACCTAAGTATGACCCAGTGTAAAAAAAAAAAAAAAGAAAGAAAGTATGACCCAGTGTCTTGCTCCACAGAGCCAGAGAGTCCTCTGCACATTTAGAGGAAAAGGCAAGGACTGTGGCCCTTTGGGGCTTGTGCTAGTTAGTTTTTTCAAGCTAAATTCTCGTCCAAGGACTATCACGAAAAAGCCATGTGACATTAGGTAATTCCTTTACACTCTTGAGACCCCTGGTCCTGGTCCTGTAGCAGGAAAGGAAAAGGGCTGGACCTGATCAGGATTTCATAACTAGAGTGCCTGATAGATCCCCGGTGACCTCTGGGTATGTTCACCAGCCCAGAAGAGTGTGTATTTTATGCTTGGGAGTCACCACACACACTACCAAAACCTGTCTCAAAATGTAAAACTGATACCGTGATAATACTGATTCAATGTTTTTCACTCCCCTTGCTTGCTGTCCATTCTGGCAGATGCCCAGGGGCTCCTTCTAGCTCCCTATAGGAAAAGTTTTACATAAAGAGACAGCTCTGGGGGCTGGGGATTTAGCTCAGTGGCATAAGCGCCTGCCTTGCAAGCAGGCAGTCGTGAGATCCCTGGTACCGATAAAAAAAGAAAAAGACAAAAAAGAGAGAGAGAGACAGCTCTGGAGCCTGGCACCTGAGCCCTAAGCCTGCCTCTGTCACACAGCCACCTATAACCCCTAGGAAAGGCCCACAGGGACTCTGGGGCCCAGTCACCCATCTGAAAAGCAGCATGGTGTTAATCAAAGTAACTTCTTCATAGGGCGTTGATAACATTAAAAGAGTTAAAGCATGCGATAGAATTGAAAATAACCTGAGAGAAGCCTTCCCTGCTCTCTCCATTTAAAATTGTAATTGCCCCACTTTGTATAGCCTTTCCTTGCTTTTTGTTGCTATTGTTTCCTCCAAAGGACATATTACCATTTAGCATATATTTTACTTGCATTGCTAGAATTTAAACTCCCAGGGGGTTCGGGATTTACATGATATATTTGTAACATCTACAACAGTGACAGACACATAAACCCTCAATAAATATGTATTGGTTGAGTCTGGGCATGGTGGCACACACCTGTAATCCGAGAACTTTGGGAGGCTGAGGCAAGAAGATCACAAGACTAAGCCCAGCCTGGGCAACTTAATGACTTAGTGAGGTCCTGTAAAATAAAATGTAGGACTAGGGACATGTGTTACATTGAAATAAAAAACAAGGCAAGGGATTTAGCTCAATGCAAAGGCCCTACGACATATATATGACATATAGTGTTATATATGTTGAATAAACAAATGTCTAGCACATGCTAAGTTTTCAATAAATCGCTGCTATTAAAATTGTGTCTTATTCTCTATCATGAAAAAAATATTTCCATTTTCTGCTTCTCATAACTTCTTTCTGGTTTTGAACCCCATTGGGCTGATTCTTACCCATACAAGTGTCAGTGAGCTTGTTTCTGGCAGTTAAGTTTACTCAGACAAAGCCATGCAAAGGGAGCACCAGGTTCCAGTATGGAGCAAGAGCTACCGTTACTGAGTGTCCACTGTCAGGCAGGCTCTGTGCCAGGGATTATTTCTCTTCTCCAATCCTTTTGTGTCTCAGGTGCATAGAATTAGAGCAAGCATCACAGATGCAAGTCCAACTTCCTTCTTTTGTTTTAGTCCATTTTTTTATTTTACCCCATCTAAAATCCCAGTTTCCACTATACCATATTTAGTGTCTCTTTCAGTCCACCTCTCCTGAGCAGTGCTGGTGCTGTTTTCCCAGAGCACCATGTGAGTGTTTACTTAGGTGCTAATGTGCAACCGATCTCACCCTGGGTCCCTTTCCGTCTAACTTATGCTCTCCTGTCATTTACCCACATGGCTCTGTGCTGATGTCATCACTCCTTTACTTATGATGGCAACTTTTCCACTTTTCACCAAGCCCCTGAGAGGTACTCACTGCTCTTTGCATTTGTCAGATGGGGAGATGAGGTCCAGGAAGGTAAATAACCTGCCAAAGGCACTCAGCAGGAGAATCGTGACTATAACCTACATATCTCTGATTCCAGTGCACACCTTCTGACTCTGTAAAGCAGATTTAATGACTTAAAATTTATGAAACTATTTTAATGTCAGAGAATAGGTGTGTTTAACTAGAATTAGAAGCCACTTGTTTCCTTGAAAATTATTTTGGTATTTTGTCTCAAAAAGCACATTTTTTTCATAAACAGGCTTAATATCATTATTTGTGATTTATGACTTCATTATGATAATTTAACCTTAAATGAAAATCTCACCATACTTTCAGATATTTAACATTCTTCATGTTAAAAAGGAGTGAGGCATAAGAACACCAGATAGGGCAGAAGAAGGAAAATTACAAGGGAATGGGTTACAGCTCCAATGTAAGAAAACGTGAATGGTAACCAAATTATTTCATCATCCAAGTCTCTCTGGAATTTCAAGGACTGTCGCTCTCACTCAGGTCCTCAGCGTCTCTCTGGAACATGGACATGTTTAGTTCAAAGGTAGGAAATCGCAACCCCAGATTATAAATGGGAGAGCACAATGGCCTTTGTCACCTCTTTGTCAACTGTCAATCTGGCCTTGTACACTGTAGGCCAGCGGTGGTGAACCTTTAGAGCTTTGGATGATATCCAACAGCCCACTGTGGTACAGTGTGGCCTAGGTCCAGCCCCATGGCTCTAGGCCTTCTGGCTTTCAGGCTCAGACAGGCAAATGCATCTTTGATTAAGTAGGATGTACATAACCCATCCTATGTGTTGGCAAAACAGTATGAGAATTTCATAAATCAAAAACATAAAGAGTGATGAGGTGCAATTTAAGAAAAGCACTTAATAGTTCCCAAGCAAGCTATGCTAATAAAACTTAGTAGCTTATTAACTTGACTTCAAAAATAGTCACAGCTTCTCTGGGACTTACAAACCCAATAATTTTTTTTAAACAAGTAAGAAATTAAAAACAAAGAACCTATGATACCTAGAGTGCTCAACAGATAACAAGCTATTCTATGTTCAAGAAAAAAAAATGTAAGATTTCACAGAAAATGAATTTAAAGAAAGAGGAAGAAAATCTACTGGAGCCTTCCCTCATCCTCTAAAGAGCAGGGGGAATACCATGGGGAAGCCAAGATGGACAGAGCGGAGAGTCCCAGGATCCACTCCCCGGGGCACTCTCTCTTCAGACCCTCTTTCCTTCATGGTTACAGTGGAAAGATGAGTTACTATGCCAAGGGCCCGGGTCAGTTAGATCAGTTCAGCACCTGACCGTAGAGAAAACTTGTGTTTTCATTGTCACATGTTGACTTTTCCGTGGCTTCCCTTTCTTCCTCATCAGGAGGTTTAGAGTAACAAGGAAATGAGGTGGATTGGCACATTTTGGTTTCACACCCGTTTCCTGCCTCTGGCCTGTGTAAAAAGAAGTCTGTCCACAGGCCAGTTTTACTTACCTAGGTACCATGCAGGAATTTTACAGTAATATAAAGTGTGTTTATGTTTGGTACTGATCTCTGAATACACTCATGCCTGGAACAGGATGAGAAGGATGACCAAAGCCAGGACATAAAGATGTAAATATCGGAACTGAGGGCGATGGAGGAAATCTGTTATTGTACCACTCTGGACAGTGAGACAAGAGGATTAGAAGATCACAAATTTAAACTTATAGTGACTTATTAAGACTCTGTCTTAAAAAAGCAGGGGAGGCTGGGGTGTAAGTTAGTGAGATGGACCTGGGTTCAGTTCTTAGCACCAGAAACAAGAGAGAGAGGGACTGGGGATTTAGCTCAGCGGCATAAGCACCTGCCTTGCAAGCAGGCAGTCCTGAGTTCAATCCCTG